TTTTATGGTGGTGGCCTAGGTGGGGGTGGCGTAATTTATTTTATTTTTTTAATGGAAAGGGTTGGGTACGGGGTATGAATAGGGTAAGAAGAAAAAACAAAAGAGTTCATAACCTAAAAGTTCAGAACGTTATGCCTTAAAAGAAGTTCATAACCTAAAAGTTCCTACATAACTTAGTTCAATTTCACAATCCGCAAAGTTATACCTTAACTTAGTCTATACTAAAAACACTCAGAAAAAGCCTACATACGGCAAATGATATTTCTCAATTTTTCATGTCATAGAAATGGCAAAATTTCCATGAATTCAGAATAGTCAAAGCAAAAGGAAAAAGAAAAGTATTGGAGGAGGAATTGTCAACAAACTAAAAGTAGAAAAGCAGAGAAATTTCCTCTTATCCATCCCCTTTGAACAATGAATGAATATTATTTCCATTGACAAATTTCACTAACACAACTTGAGTACTGAAAATTGACACTCTTTAAGTCTTCACCAAAAAAATACTCAATTAAATAGATCATTTGCCTTGTCCATTCTTGGTTAGCTCAATAAGGAAAAAGAGTTATAATTGTGTTATAGTTATGAGAAGAAGTTGCGATCTTCTCATTGCTCTTGCGGTTTTCATTCTGCTCCATACTTCACTATCTACTATTCCCAATATTAGTACTGATGAAGCTGCTCTTCTTGCCTTCAAATCGCACATTTCTTCTTTTGATCCTAACAATATCTTAGCAGCCAACTGGTCTTCTTCCAGACCAGTTTGCAGCTGGATTGGCATCACTTGTACCTCCCAACACCATAGAGTTGAAGCTTTAGACATTTCTAACATGCAACTTTATGGTACCATTCCTCCACACCTTGGAAACCTCTCATTTCTCGTTTCCATTATAATCAACAACAACACTTTCCATGGGAGTTGCCAAAAGAGTTGGCTTATTTGCAGAGGTTGAAACTGATCTTGGTCAGAAGTAATAACTTTACTGGTGCCATTCCAACATTTCTAAGTCTGTTACCAAATCTTCGCATCGTGCATCTTTCGAGTAACCAATTTTTCGGTGAAATCCCATCTTCCCTTTCCAATATAACACAGCTGCAAGTGTTGGATATATCCAAAAAATTTCTTGAAGGAGAGATCCCTCAAGAACTCGGTGATCTTCATCACATGACTTTGTTCAATCTGGAAAATAACCAGCTTACTGGCTCTATACCACCATCAATCTTTAACATTACAACAATGAAAAAGATTGGTCTCACCTACAATAATCTTACGGGTAAGCTTCCAGCAACTATATGTGACCATCTTCCAAACTTGGAAGAGCTTCACCTCTCAGCCAATCACATACATGGCGTTATTCCACCAAACATAGGAAAATGCAGAAAGCTCCAAATCTTGTCATTATCTAGAAATGAGCTCACTGGAACTGCACCAAGAGAGATAGGCAATTTAACGGCACTTACAAGCTTATACCTTGGAACTCTGCATCTGGAAGGTATTATGATACTTACTTTCATTTTTATCTTCTGCCAAATTGGTACTAATCATGTATTTTCCTCACTTGACAGGAGAGATTCCAGCAAGTATTTCTAACATGTCAGAACTGCAGAACCTAGGATTTGCAAGAAACAGGCTTTCAGGTAATTGTTGTGTAACAAAGAATCTGAAGTGTTTATGTAAATATATGACATTTGAGCCTAACTCAACCCCAAAACCTAACTCATAAGGGGAGGATTACCCAATTCCATAAAATCTGACCACCTGTCTATTCCCCAAACAATGTGGAACTTTTAGCCACTCTAACTCCCCTTTCACACCCAGGTCCAACTGGAGCGAGGACCGGCAGCCCAAAGGGGATGGCCTGACCCAGATACCATGTAAAGATACGACATCCTCTCCTCATAAACTAGCTTTTGGAGGAGAGTTATGCCCATGTGTCATATCTTACATGGTATCAGAGCCACGTCCATCCTCGTTTGGACTCCCAGTATTCACTCCAGTTAGGCCTAGGCAAGAAGGGGTTGTTAGAGAGGTTAAAAGTCCCACATTTGTTGGGAATGAACAGGTGGTCTGCTTATATGAACTTGGGCAATTCTCACTCATGAGCTAGCTTTTGGGATTGAGTTAAGCCCAGGTGCCATATTTTTACGTTCTCAAGTTCTAACATGTCAACTCATATATTTCCCCCTCTTGACAGGAGAGATACCAATGGAACTAGGTTATCTTCAGAAACTACTGTTTCTGTCATTAGACACAAATGAGTTGACTGGTTCTATCCCTGCAAGCATTTTCAACATGTCAGCACTGCAGATCTTAGGAATTGCAGAAAACAGGCTTTCAGGTACTCTACCTTCAGATTTAGGTCGTGGAATGCCCAACCTAGACGGATTCTATTGTTATCAGAATAGTTTGAGTGGTTTTCTCCCTGCTTCTATCTCAAATTTTTCAAGACTCAGAGTACTTGAACTCTCTTATAACAGTTTCACAGGCCCAATTCCTGAATCAATTAGTGACTTAGAATACATTGAGGTTTTGAACTTAGGGGCGAATAATTTTGTCAGCAATTCAGCATTGAGCTTCTTGACATCTTTGGCAAACTGTAGGAAACTGAAAGAAATCACTTTTGCCGAGAATCCCTTGGACGGTTTTTTGCCTGCCTCCATTGGAAATTTCTCTGATTCTCTGCAAATTTTCCAAGGATGGTATTGTAAACTGAAAGGCTTCATTCCCGGAGAAATTGGCAATCTTACCGGTGTGATAAAGATGGATTTGTCACAAAATGAGTTGACTGAATATATTCCAAAATCCATCCAAGGCTTGTCGAACCTTCAAGAACTTAACTTAGGTGGCAACATGATAAAAGGAATCATACCAGATGTTATCTGCAATTTATATAATCTTGGAGCATTAAATTTGTCAGGAAATCAAGTTTTTGGTTCCATACCACCATGCTTAGGGAACATTACCAGTTTGAGGTATCTTTATCTAGCTAACAACGGGCTGAATTTGAGCTTACCTTCAAGCTTGTGGACTCTTCAAGATCTCATAGAATTCAATGTTTCGTCCAATTTATTAAGTGGGAAAGTTTCTATGGAGATTGGAAATTTAAAGGTTGCAACACTAGTTGATCTGTCAAAAAATGATTTTAGTGGTAAGATCCCTAGCACGCTAGGGGCTCTGGATAGATTGATGAAATTTTCTCTAGCACATAATAAATTAGATGGGCCTATTCCAAATTCATTTGGCAAAATGCTGGCCTTAGAATTCTTGGATTTGAGCAATAACAATCTTAGTGGTGAAATTCCAAAGTCATTAGAAGCTCTCGTGTATCTCAAATACTTGAACTTCTCATTTAATGAACTCAGTGGAAAGATTCCCACAGGTCTAGTCCTATCAAAGCTGCTTCACCTACTTCGAATCAACCAACTGGAGATC